AGCTTCCTTCCCTCTTGTCTTACACTGCTAAATTAGGGACGACTAGCGCAGATAGCCTTCGTGTAGCTTTACGCGAAATTCAAAAACAAACAAACAAACAATTTATCCTGCTTCTGTATATGTTTTATAAATTTCAAGCCATAGTGTTTTCTAGCTTCAGCTGTGCTGTCTAGATTATCATCATTATTATTATCCATAATTTCCAGACTCCAAAATAAGTTAGTTTTTTACAGATTCTTATAGTAATTAACTAACATCAAAGCTTCCTTTTCTTCTTCTTACTTTAAGTTAGTGATCACTACCAATATCTGCTCCACCACAGTTTGCGCGAAATTCAAACCAAACTAATAATAAACTCTTAGAGAAGCTTCTTGCAGGGTATTCATTCACAGAGTAGGTCACGAGAGTATAACCTCATATGATCATAAATTTACATATTCTTCTGCTATATTAATAGTATCTGTACGTCAACGCTAGGGAAGCTGTTGTCTGTTTCATCATATCCACATATATTTACTCAAAATACAAATGATTATGTATGAGGTGAGTTAGCGTTTTAATGCAATTAAAAATTCATAGATAAATTAAACGATAGAAGGAAATAATAAATGAACGATAAACACAACTGTAATAATAAAAAAATAGAATTTGCTATCTCATAATAGTGGTACTATATACAATGTATGTACTCATCACCAGCCCGGAAGACTCCTGACTAATTCCGACTAGATGACAGCAAGATGCTACCTATTCCGCCTCACAGCAATGCGACAAAGTGCGACAAACTTCATGTAGTGTATGCACCTTGCCACTTTTCTTAACCACGAATGAACTGTACCAATGCCCTGTGAATGCCATGAGAAAAATTGTGTGAAATCCAATACTTACATCTTTGAGAGATCACAAATAAATTAAATGTTCTCTTTAAACTTCGTATATATAAAAATTGTTTTCTAAATTAATGTAATTTTAAAGTGTAAACCTCTGTACACTAGATACTACAAGAAGTTTCTTAGTTGACACGCTTTAACGTTAAGTAGTTGTAAGACGTAAAATGTGTCATTCTTGGAATATATGTTTACATATTATTTGGCATCTCATGGCCTGGTGGTTAGTGCTCTCGATTGGCAATTTATGAGTCATGGATTTGAATCCCCGTCACCGAACATGCTCGACCTTTCAGCCATGGGACCGTCATAATGTTTCGATCAATCCTACAATTCGTTGGTAAAAGAGTAGTTGGTGGTGTTGACTAGCTGCCTTCCCTCTAGTTTATCAGTGCTAAATTAGGGACAGTCAGCGCAAATAGCCCACGAATAGCTTAGCCCGAAGTTCGAACCAAACAAACAAACATACATATTCTTTGTCAAAATACAGTAACGTTTTGCTCCCTAAAAGCACTCCAAGTTACTTTAAATCTTTGCGAGAGCTTTTCAACAACTATGCCACAGAAGTTCTCTACAAAGTAGAATGCTTCAACGTAAATTTATCTTTTATCTCATTAGTTTGTGATTTATTAAAATGTTTTAAGTTTTGCCCATCATATTTTCACTACTGAACCTATGAAATGAAACAAGATCTTTTTCTCAAGCAACCTCTCAAAACTTGCATAATCAGTTGCGTTAATGAAATTATTTGTTTGTTTTTAATTCGCGTCAAAGCTACACGTGGG